GACCTTCCATTCATGCCAGTGAGGGAGACCTTCCATTCATGCCAGTGAAGGAGTCCCAAAACAGATGAGTAAATAATGTCAGCTATCTAAAGTCTGGAAACAATGGAGTGCAGTGGCCTAGTGAAGACCCAGAGGGAAATTATTCTAGGCTAAGTCCCTGAGGGGTGGTGAGTTTGGGGTGCTGGGGAAACAGCAGTATGACCAGTAGGGACAGAGCAAAGGTATGAAGGACAGAGTTAGGCAGGGGTCAGGTGAGACAGGCTGTTACAATATAGATCTAGTGAGCAGTGGATTTCAGCAGGAGAATTATGTCTGCTTGTTTTGGGGAGAGCATTTTAGACAAGGTCTGATCTGTCACCCAGGTTGGAGTGCAGTGGAGCAATCACAGCTCACTGCAGCCTCAACCTCTGAAGTGATCCTCCCACTTTAGCCTCCCAAGTAGCTGGGACAACAGGTGCACATGTCACTGTGTTGAGCCCTGTTTGTTTTTAAAAGTTCTCTGGAAACTGGGAAGTTGAAAGGTAGTATTCCTCCAAGACCTTGAATCTAGGCTGGCCTTGTGACTACTTTGATCATTACAAGGCAGTGGGAAAGGATGTTCTGGGACTTCAAACCCAGGCCTCAATGGGACTGCCAGCTTCTACTTCCTTCCCAGAATGCCATCCCTGAGCCCAAGCTACATGGAGAGGCCATTGTCCTAGCTGAAAACTTAGCCAACTGCCACTAGGTGAGTAAACCACCAGGTCACTGAACATTCTGCCCACTCAAGCCCACAAATGCCCACAGCTCCAACCACATCACACGAATAGAGGAGCTAGACCAGGAAACCAGAATTGTGAGATTGAATCACTTGGTTTTGAAGTTTATTTTACAGCAATAGATAACTGAAACAAGGGCAGGAGTGGAGGGTGGATGCAGGACACAAGCCAGCTTTAGAGTTCATTTAGGCAGGAAAGATAGAGGCCTGGAGCAGATTGGCAGAAGTGAAGATAGTGAGTGGTCAGATTCAGGACACACTTGATCGGTGCAACTTTCAGGTTGGAATATAAGGGAAAGAAGTAGAATAGAAAAGGAGCAAGTGCCTGCCTGGCCTTCTCCACACCACTCCTTAGAGCTACAGACTCAGCTCTCTTTGGTAACTACCACCATACTGCATTAACCAGTTGCTTATATTATACTGTGATTTTATTGTTTATTTTTTGCTTTTTAAGTAAATAAGATCAAATCTTTGAGTGGAGAAGTCCTCCTTAATCAAGAAACAAAACCTCAAAGACACAAAAGGAAAGTATTAATAGATGTAACCATCCAAAAATAAAACATAAAACTTCTCTATCATAAAAACATGCTATAAACAAAGCTAAAAGATGAGCTATAATGGTGAGAAAACATTTGCAAATATAACAAAAATCTCATACACTAGATAGACAATTCTAAAAAAGGTAACCAAAAAGAGACTACCATTAAGCTGTTCTAGGAATTTCACATTATATTACTGTATCTTAATGTATGAGTTTTAGATGTGTCATGTGGCCTCTCAGCCTCCAGCAGATATGCCCAGGCTTCTCACAGCATGGTGGTCTCAAGGTTCCAAGAAGGGGAGAGGAGAAACGTCAAGGCCTCTTAATGCCTCGGCTGCAGAACTCACATACTGTCACTTCTTCCATGTATTGGTCAAAACAAATCACAGGCCAGCCCAGACCCAAGGGTTAAAGAAATACACTCCCTCTCTCATTAGGAGAAACAGCAAATTTCTCACTGTAAAGTGGTGTGGATACAGGGAGGTGTGATTCATTGGGACCAATATTATAATATACCAACACAATGTCTAAAAATGCCTTTCTTCACAATTAATAGCTTAGCTGGGAATATTATTCTGTATTGATAATTATTTTCTCTTAGGATGAAAGCATTGCTGCACTGTCTTGGAGCTTCCAATGCTGTTGAGAAGAGTAATGGCATTTTGATTCCTGTTCCTTCATATGTGATCTCATATTCCTTTCTGAAATCTTTCGGGATTTATCTATGGTATGATGAAATGTCATAATATAGCCTTGTATGAGTCTTCTTTTTCCTTTTCTCCCCTCCTTTCCTCCCGTTTTTTGTTTATTATGTTAAGCATTTGAAAGGTCATTTTAATCTGGAAACATGTGTCCTTCAGTTTGGAAGATTTTCTGATATTTCTTTGATAGGTATATTTTCCACAAATGTGTATTCTCACAAAAATATCAGAAGAGTGGTATTATTTTACATTTTAAAACACTTATTTTGGCTTAATAGAACACAAATGAGTTCTCACATCTACTTCTGCATTAAATCTTGCAGTATGTTGTTTTGGTTGAAATCTATTAAGAAATGACAACTAAGCATATTTTTAAGGCAGCTTGTGTCTGAACAGATAGCAGTACAAAACCAACATAACGAGAAATACCTGGCACCTCTTTATCTCAGGACTTTGCTAAATGGGAAATATTAGGCATCTTTTTGAGAATTAATCCAACCTCACATTGGTAGAAAACAAAACTGCCTTTTTTCTCTGTATAAAAACCACTTAGTACTTCATTTGTATGTTCGAATGTAGTTTGTGAAGAAAGCAATCAGAGAAATAGTGTATCTAATTTGTAAATAAAATTAACCAAGAGAATATACAGGTCAGATCACCCTTCAGCTGGTCTGACAATTGCCATCACAAAGTGAGTCAGCTGGCCAAAGTGATGGGGAGACATTCTGAAAAATGTGTCATTAGGAGACTTCACCATTGTGTGAACATCATAGAGTATACTTAGACAAATCTAAATAGTATAGCTTACCTACCACACACCTAGGCTATATAGTACAACCTGTTGCTCCTAGGTTACAAACGTGTATAGCATGTGACTATCGAATACT